TTAATAACAGATTTCATCATACCAGCAAAACAATATATTGGTCTGGCCCCACTGTCTCCTCCCAGCTTGAGCGGTAAGGGGTTAGTGGGGGTGAAGTGTGAGCTTCAGTGAGGCTCAAACTGTGCAGGTCAGTGTGAAAATCAATGATTGCCAGATGCTCCCTCCACTTCATCAGAAACACATGTCTGCTAAGGTGTGCCTCTTCCGTAAAAGCCTTGCACTCTGTTTTCTCTTTTTAAGATGCAGCTTGCATGAGATACCTTATCTTCAGCATATTGTAATGTCACTGCATTACCACGTATCTGCATATTATTTTAATCTGCACAGTGGTAGACAGCAGTTGATCCATTTCAGTGTTAACCACAACACCGCAGATAGTTTTGGGTAAAAGTTTTGGTCAGGTCTATGTTTCAGTGCAGAGCAGACTTCCTGTGTGAGCCCAAAATTGGAGCCACTTCAACCTACTATGTGATATCACGGTGCAGAGCCCTGAGTAATGTCACTGCTGCTCCGCTGCAAGCTACACCATACTAATACATTCCACCTAGCCCCATCAGTTTTTCCCATGTTCACCCATTTCAGAGGCATGCCAAGGCCACTCTGAGCCCGACAGTGCTTTGTCTTTCTTCGGTGAACTTATTTGTAGTTGCACTATCACTCTATTTTATAGTGGTTTTACAAAGTAGCTTTTTATTTTATTTTTCTTCTTGCTCTCCGTCTGGCAAGTCTTTTCCCCCCTGCTTGGCGTGCCTTTCTTTGCAGCTGTGCTGCTGTTTACCAAGTTGAGACACACTTGCAGTTACAGCGAAAGTGGAAAAACAGTTAGATGACCTCCCACCTAATCCCAAAAAGGAAAAAAAGATATCCTGTGGAAGTTCCTCCAACAGAAACAAAGGCTGTGAATTTTGCAGACACCTGCACTTAGTCACCATGAAAAAGTAGTATGGGTTTACACAGAGCTTTCTCCACAAGTCTATATATATATATATATATACACACACACATTCAAGTCTGTATTTCATTGAGGTCAGCAGCCATAGTGTGGTCTGCTTCGACTTACAGCAGTTACAATAGATGAAAATGGTGACCAAGTTTCATCAAAATATCTACAGAAACATCTTGCTTCTAATGTATTAGCCATTATAAATACAGCTTGTTTGTCACTAACAGTTAGCTTTTCTAGTCTAATACTTGCAACTACATTCAATTCATGGCAACCTCCATGGCTGCAAATGAAGCCAACATGGAAGTAACAAAATTTGCACTACCTCTAACGGCCACTGGCTCCAGCAGTGAGTCAATGTCCATAAGGCCCCATATTAAAAATGCTTGGATTAGCTCTGAGTTGGCAAGATGGTGACGGCCAGAGCCGACCACACTGAGCTTCACAACAGCTCTTCACAAACCTGTGGGTGTCCATATTTAAATAAACAGTCCCCACACAGTGTAGTGTAAATGCAAGCCATGCTATGCCTTTATGGAAGCGAATAGTGACCAAAATTAAAATTAAAATG